CTGACGGTTTGGCCGATCCAGCTCCACTTCCTTCTCAGGATCTGTATGACAACCGGCTCCTGTCCTGCCTTGCTCCACAGTTCTTCATTTCGAATCTTCTCTGGCCATCTGATGTTGTATATGCGTCTGAGGCAGTTGTTAATGAACGTCTGTATCCTGTGTTGTGTTGACTTGTTCCTTCCCCCATGCCTCTTCCCCGTATAGGAAGACGGACTTGACGTTGGAGTTGAAAATGCGTACCTTGGTGTTCATGTGGCTTTCCCTGGAGGCCCAGATGTTCTTAAGCATGACAAAGACTGCTCTTGCATTGCCTATTCTGGGTGAGACATCCTGTTCTGTGCCTCCCTGCTGGTCCATCACACTCCCCATGTACACAAAAGACTCCACCTCCATGATGGTCTCTCCCCCTACTGTAATAGGGGTTCTTGTGTTATTGTTGACCTTCAGAACCTCTGTTTTCTCCTTATTGATCTTTAGATCAACTTCAGCACATGTTGCGCCCAAGCGTGTAGTATTGTCTTGCATCTGTCTGTGGTAGTGAGAGAAAGGAGTGCCAGGTCGTCGGCAAAGTCCAGGTCATCTAACTGTCCTCCCTGTAGCCACTGGATTCCGTTGTTCCTACTCTCTGTGGTAGTCTTCAGGATCCAGTCAATTGCAAGAATGAACAGAAAGGGTGACAGTAGACATCTTGCCGTACACTTCAAAGCTGCCCGACAGTTGTCCTGCGTGGGACACTGCATGTCATGCCCTTGTATGTTCCTTTGATTATGGAAATGATCTTCTGGGGTATTCCATAATGTCTCATTAAAGCGACGGTCACAACTCGCCGTGCGTGCTTTTTGTCCGTACGTTTTTGTCGTGGCTACGCCTGCTTCGTCTTTTCTGCAAACGTAGGGTGGCCGGCCGAGGGAGTACGTCACTCGCACGGTTGCGCAAGGTGTACGTACGTGGTCTGCACGACACGCCAGGCCGTCAGCGGTTGCGTGCATCGAACGTTGCGCAAGTGGTAAGTGAGCTGTACGTGCTTACAACGCACGATCTCTGTGCGATTGCTACGTTGCCGCGTACAGGCCGTACCTACACGTGCGGCGTACGCACGGTTTCCTTACTCACTCGCCAGTTGTAAGTGCGTGCACCTCCTGTTAACTTCATCATCACTAGCCGCCCTGGTGTCTTCCGCGGCCCGTTTCTTTGGGTCTTGTCTGGTAGTCTTCTTCTGAGCCTTCCTGGGCATCTTGGAGACGAGTTGGCAGTCGCCGGTCAAGTTGTCTTTATATACTGTAGAAATCAGGTGTGTTGCACGTGCGTTGCACGTGCGGAGTACCTGGTATGGTGCACGTGTGTTCTGCGTGGTCAGTGAGCAGGTCAACTGGGAAGTGAAGAGTAAGCACGGATGACGCAAGCACCGTGCGTGGCACGCACGTGCTTCGTGCGCTGTCCGTACAGCAATTGCACGTTAGAATAGTGAAGTTAGACTCACGGAGTCCGTACGTTGCACGCTCATAGGCTGTACGGGGCACGCGCGTCGCACGTACTCGCACGCACGGGTGGTAAATCCGCAGACCGCGCGTAGTAAACGGCGTGTCTGCGTGCTCCCAAATCCGTAGGATTCCGTACGGAGGTGGTACTCACCACGCACGGATGCCGTACGATTGCCCACGTTTTTGCACGTAGACAGCACGCAGAAGCACGTACGGCGAGTTGTGACCGTCGCTTAACTTCCATAGTGTCTCCCTATCCACACTATCAAAGGCATTTTCAAAGTCTATGAAGTTAATGTAAAGGGGGAAGTTCCACTCCAGCGACTGCTCCACTATAATGCGCAGGGTGGCTATCTGGTCAACACAAGACCTGTTCTTACGGAAACCCGCCTGCTGGTCACGGAGCCTGTCGTCTATTGCCCCCTTCATTCTCTCCAGAAGAACTCTGTTAAAGACCTTCCCCGGTACTGACAGGAGCATAATCCCTCTGTAGTTGCTACAGTCCCCCGGCCCCAGGTCACCTTCGTAAGCTTGATGAGGATACCCTCTTTCCACTCCGCTGGCACTCGTTCCTCTTCCCAGATCTTGTTGAAGAGGCTGTGCAGCATGCTGACTGCTGTCTCCGTGTCATGACTTCAGCCTTGATGGCTTCTGCAGGTACCTCATCTGGTCCTGCTGTCTTCCAGTTCTTGAGGGACTTGATTGCTTTCCTGATAATAATAAATGTTTTTTTTGTCCAAACAGTGCCCGTGCAGTCGCAGTCTTTATACGGAGTCGATTGATGCAGGGTTTCACATAATAATCAATACAAATCACAACAATTACAAGAATCAAATAATACACTTGATACACATATTTGTTCCACAATTAGTTTTTGTGGAACTATCGCAAGGGTCTGTGCGGCTGCCATTCGGCGCCACAAGGTGACCTCAATACGATTTTCCCCAACCGAAGTTAGGTACCCATTCACACCTGGGTAGAGTGAGGAAATTCGTGTAAAGTGCCTTTCCCAAGAGCACAACGTCGGGGCGCATGTCCAGACATGTCCACTCTCTGTCCCGGGTACGACTCGGAATCGAACATGGGTCTCCCCGCTTCATAGTCGATTGCTCTAACCACTACGCCACCCGACGCCACGATCTCTACCTTAGTGGGCTTCTCACAGTTGATAGGCAGGTCTGCCTCTGCTGGTGGAATGTCCGGTGGTGCGTCCGGAGCAGGTCGGTTTTAAGGCTCACTAAAATGCTCTGCCCGTCTCCTAAGTTGCTCCTCAGTTGTGGTAAGTGGGTTCCCCTGCTTATCCTTGATTGGCTTGTTAGTCTGCTGGAACTTCCCTGCCAGCTGTTTTGTCACCTGGTACAGTTCCCTGAGGTTTCCCTGTCCTGCTGCTTCCTCAGCCCGCTTGGCCAGACTGTCAATGTGGTCTCTTTTGTCCTTCCTGACACTCTTCTTCACTTCCCTGTCAGTAGCAGTGTACTCTTCCTGCGCCCTTTCCTTGGCTGATCTTGTGCGACTCATGTTGAGTACTGCCTTCTTCTCTTTCCTCTCATCCAGTCTCTGTAGAGTGCTGGCAGACATCCACTCTTTGTGTTCTGGTTTCTTCCTGCCTAGTACCTCTTCACGTGTACCAAGCCAAGTTTCCTTGGTGTGTTGCCACTGTGTCTCTATGTCCATATCTTCGCTCTCTAGCTGGTTTTGTAGGGCTTTAAACCTATGAAATAGGTTCAACTGGACGGATGGCTGGACATCCTTGTTCTTGAGCAGACCCACGTTGAATCTCCTACGTGGCTTGGTGGTTCTCTTTGGCTTGTGATTCTTCAGCCTAAGTCTGATGCTGCTACGATCCTGGGGGACTTCACCCCACCATGATAAGGAACTGTGTAACCTTGTCGAGGTGTAGCAGCTTGTTCCGGCTTGGTGTTCTTCCCCGGTCTGGTGCATGGGAGACCTGTAACCTTTTGGGGGGGTTACGACACCAGGGAGGTACTAATTAGCAGTTCCGCCAACCCCTCTCCCAGAGGTTAAATGGGTTTGCGTAAGGCCAACAACCTTACCTAGAAAAACATTGTTACCGAAGCATCGACGAGAATCTGAAACCAAGCCGACCTGGGAGAGGAAGGCTGAACGGAGACGCATGACGCAGTGCAGTGAAAGCCAAGAGGAAGCTGCAAGGCCGACTCCCCTTCTGACACCCAGGAAAAGTAAAAGAATTGCTACATGGAACGTCAGGACAATGTATCAGGCAGGGATAACCTCCCAGGTAGCTCAAGGGATTAGGAGCTACAACATCTCTCTCCTAGGACTGTGCGAAACGAGACGGCTCCAGACAGGGCAGCTGAGACTGGCGTCGGGTGAACTACTGTGGTATTCTGGGCACACAGAGGAGGGCGAACCCCACTCAGAAGGCGTGGCCCCTATGCTGGCGCAGGAGGCACAGCAGGCACTTGTCAGCTGGGAACCAGTAAGCCAAGTTTGCCACAGGGGAAAGCAAAATCCACCTGAACGTCATCCAGTGCTACGCACCCACAAACGACGCTGAGGAGGAGAAGAAAAATGACTTCTACCATCAGCTACAAGCAGTGCTTGATAAAACAAGACAGAGAGACATCACAGTGCAAGGAGACTTCAATGCGAAGATAGGATCGGACAATACTAACTACGAAAGAACCATGGGTACACACGGAATGGGCCAGATGAACGAGAATGGGGAACGTTTCCCTGACTTGTGCTCCCTCAACCACCTAGTGATAGGCGGTATTATATTTCCCCACAAGAGAATACACAAGGCCACATGGAGATCCCCGGGACCATGTCACCGAGAACCAGAAAGACCATATCTGCATCAGCCGGAATTTTAGACGATCTCTGCAGGATGTAAGGGTGATGAGAGGGGCCTATGTGCCATCTCCACCTCCTTGTGACGGCAATCAGACTTAGGCTTAAGAATCTTTTGTAAGGCACTACATATATATTGGCCTAGGTATGAAGATATGGAGCGGGGGTATCACTTCAGTACATTACAAATTTCCGTGTTTGGGAAATGTACTAGCTTTACATGTGATCATATTGATTAAATATGATTATCTGTAGTATAGGCACGACAAGTCATTGGAAAATAATACTCATCTTCAACACTTTCTTGACACGAGGGACATTGTCTCTTGTAACTGGTATCATCATTATAACGACCTTTCTTTCTATTGTAACATTTGCGAACTGATTCACTTAAAAGCGTTACGCCATCTGACACCGCAGATATCAGTGAGTTTAAAAGCAAACATCTCACTGGCACTACAAGTTCTAGGCAGATGGAAACACATGAACGACCCATGATAAGGATTTAAGTTATACACTCCGTGTTTCATGAATCAAAAGTACACGAAGTAAAAATGATGACCAATCAACATGGGGTATTCAAGCCACAGAGTTTAAATCCAATCTGTATATCAAACAACAGTCCCAAAGGTGGGAATATTACCATAATTTTTGCGTCAAATATTGATTTTCATATTTCTCATAATGTCCAGGTTAACGGATTACCGATGGCAAATTATCCCCATCATCAGCACATCCAACACGCTGTTCCTGAGGTTTACATCTGATGAGAGTGAGAGCCGTCAGGGGTTCCAGTTCTCCTACACAAGTAAGATCTTATGCTACACTTTTCAAATTAAAAAAAAAAAGGTTAATGATGTTCTTTAGAATGCTGCTCAAGATGAACTTTCTTTTCGGATTTTTTTAATTTTCAGTATATGAATAGTTTCTGCAGATCTGGGGTCCAGAACATGTCAACTTTTAGGTACGTAAAATGTAGGTATTGTTATTGCTCTGTCTCCATGTCTGTCTGTATGTCTATATGTGTGTGTGTGTACGTTTTTCGTCTTCATGAATTGTGATGTTTTTGTTTGTTTTTCTATGTTGGCAGGTCTTAGGGCCTCCTCCTGACTGGCCTTGGTACTGCAGCAGAACTTCTGTTTCGTTTTTTTTTTTTTGTATCTTTTGACCATAACATGCTATGGTCTTGATTTGTTTGTACTCTCTAAGCCGAGGTTTGGATTTTTTATATTTTTGGCGTGTTTTTAGGCTTTTTATCCGGGTTTCCTTTTTTGCATTGGATTTTTTTACCGAATCTCTGCTTGGAGACTGATACCTTTCCATGTTAGGAACAATTGGTGTGGGTTCGGCATCGGTAGCAGCTTGTTCTGAAACTTGTTTGTTTGTTTGTTTATTTCAATTCCCGTAAGTGCTAAAAAGCATTTTTCTTTATGGGGTCAATGAAATGAAAGGTAAATAACAAACTTATACATAATGATGATTACAAAATAATAAAGTAAGTTCAAAATCAAGGTCAGACCAAAAAAGCAAAAAATAACCTTAACATAATCCAGCGTTGTACGTAAAGAACAAAGGTGGCCACAAAATTAACAAATGTATAAATAACTTAAATAACTAAATAGAACATAATGTCCAACTGATGTTCACATAATTCCAAAAATAAATATAACAAATTGATCAGCCATTTAAATAACTGAAAGGTAGCAGATCCCGGTAGGCACTGCAGGGGTGATGTCTTTCAAAGCGGATAAATGAAGAAAGGAATGACGAATTTCTATCCCTTTTTAAAAATTACGTAAATGAGACTTAATATGCATGACTAATAAGGGCATTTGAAATTGCATTGTTGTACATAATAGGACTTTATAGTTTGCAACATAGAGATTCTTTATTGACATAACAAAAAAGCAACTTAAGATCTAACTAAGATCTAACTAAGCTAAATACATGTATGGATAACGTACATACAGAATATATATATATATATATATATATATATTCCATGTTTAATTTGTAACAACTGATTCTTAATTTTGTGTATACTTGAAAGATATTGTTTTTTGCTTCGTCAATGTTTTACTTATGCAAATAAGCACACCATTTGCATGATTTGTGAGGGGATGCAAGAATGACATTCTTTGTTAAGATTGGACTGTCTTTAGTGTAGAATGTAATTATAATTGATATAATCCATGCAAATGATGATCGTATTTGCATAATAAGGGGGAATAATCTGTAATTTGTCTCAAAAAGATTAACATCTTTTGGCGAAGGTATGGGATCGTGGCACTTTAGTGGTCTATAATTTTTCTTTAATGCAGTACGTAAAGAAAGTTTTGCGTTGTTGCTAATAGAATCATACCGTTTTTGCAGGTGCATAATTTAAAGACGGGATCGTAATTGGTTGATTATCGTATTCACTTGGTATTACCCTTTTTTTTTCAAAGCCAATATAGTTTAGAATGTCACTAGAGTTTAGAATCTCAGAATTTATTATTATTCAAATGATTCCTAACACTCCGCAAACGCCATCATTTGATGTTTTTGTATTAACGCTTAGTGAACATCTTCGGACATTCATGTCGATGGCATCGAATTCTGGGTTATCTTGAAGTATGTATTGTGTATGAAGTGGAACATAGATACAAAGAAGAAGCCATAGGTGACAATCCTCCGTGAAGTTTTATATATTTCAACAAAAACAATCACAAGCGTCAACGCCAGACCTACTGTGCAGACATTATAATTAGGCAACGGTTACTACAATGAGGGCGCGTCACAAGCATAAAACATAAAAAGATCTAAATCCATTACTGCTCCCAGGGCGTGTAAAAGGTACTATGCTTCAAGTTCGAAGTTCATTTTAATTACACACACACAATCATTGCATTCACATAAAGATCGGACTATCATGGTCGTGTCACTATTAACGAAGACAGCCCCACCGTCTCACCGTGCCTGTTACTTATTAAGCGCGACTTGCCAGCACCGCGAGTGTTACTAATACTACCGCTGGTCAAATACCCGGGATATCTGCTTAGAGAACCTCTGCTACCAGACAACTGCCTAACCCTACGGCCTATTCCACAGGATTGTAAAAGTAGGGATGTTTCTAAAATATGCATTTACTTCAATATCAAAACTGCTACGGTGAAAATAAAAAGACGTGCATCATCACGGACATAATGGTACACCACATGCCCAATTACACAGAAATGCGACGTACGGAAGAATGCGTTTTGGCTGCGAACATCTTCCAAAAAACTTGCCATCTCTTAAGCGCGCGCAAAAACATCTGGAACCAATTATCGGAACCTCACCGTATCTGCATGAAGTTCCACCCCCACCCCCCACTGCTATTCCAAACAACGCGTTTTTCTGGACCATTCCAATTCGCCTCGCAATTGTAGGGGTGCGTCTGCAATATTACATTGACCGCGGAAGCAGCAACGGCAAAAATACACATTCTTGCATCAACACGGGCATGCCCGCAGACGGCGTATAAAATTGCGTGCCGATTACACAAAGAGAACCCAGTGTTTTGACTGCGAACACGAAAAATCAGCTCTTCACAACACTCCGTCCGGAGGTCCTGACCTCCTTCATGGAGTAATAATGCAAATATACGCATAATTGGTATAATGAATAGCAATGGAAAGAAATCCATACCTTTTTGTTTCAGGCAGTACTGCAGGACAATGCTGGGATCCTGGTGTGCCGACCAATGGGGACAGGGATAACAACAGTAATTTTACATCAGGACAGACAGTCAGGTACACCTGTATGGACGGGTATCAGCTGTGGGGGACTGCTAATATAACCTGCCAGCCGAGCGGAACTTGGAGTGGCTCTACACCAACTTGTGGAGGTAATCAATATAGAATAAAAGTATTGACGTTAGGGTTAAAACTTCTGCTTTACCGTATATGCACGTACACCAGTAACATCTATCATGTTCAAAGTGACATTTTTTTCATGACATCACCCCTTGAAGTTTTAATAGCACACCATCCCCAGGATGACCAAAATAAACCAGTCGGAATAAAGGTAACTGAATTTAAATCATTTGGGGGAGGGTAACTACGAAGCAGGAACACTGTCAAAAATACGATATATATATTTAAAATGCATACAATTATAAAACAAACATTTTTAATAAGAATATATATATATACTTTTCAAAACAATATATGTATAGTAAATACATACGATTGTAAAACATATATGCTTAAGAAGAAAATATGTATACATTTTTCAAAACAATATATACATCTTAAATACATATAATTCCAAAACATATATTGTTCACAAAAGTGGTGTTTTCAAAATCCCTATCATATGAAAACATTTATTGTTTACAAAAAGTGGTGTTTTCAAAACCCCTATCATATGAAAACATATTGTTCACAAAAAGTGGTGTTTCCAAAACCCCTATCATATGAAAACATATATTGTTCACAGAAAGTGGTGTTTCAAAAACCCTATCATGTTTTCAGTGCACGCGGTAACACTGTCAAATCTCTCACCAGAGTTTCTAGCACGGGCGACCACATTACTGTTGTGGGGGTGAGAGAAAAAAAACAGATTTTTTTCACCTAGGTTTCGTCGCCCCTTGTCCAGTGATTCTTAAAGCTACGCGTAATTAATTTTCATTCCAAAAAGCCTTTTTCATTATTGTATTTTGGTCCGATCTTTGCATATAAGTAGAGATGTCACACTAAAAATAGAGGGCGCTAAGGATTGTTACTGAGTAGATTTTTCCGATCAGAATTCTTCCTTTCGCATAAAAGTTGAGATTTTGTAGAATTTTTCAAAGTTAACAATTTTGACGGTTTCATCAGAAGATGCTCAAGTATTGCCATTGGTTCCATGGGAATAGAGTCAATTCCGCGACATCGTGTGGGTTGTTATTGTCATTATTTAGAAATGTTTTGAAATCTTTGTTATTGTTTGTCTAAGAAATTTCATAATATGGAAACATTTTAAATATCTTTTCAACATTCTAAATAATTCCCTGGTTTTGTAAAACGGTTGAAATATTCCTGATGTGGAATATGACATTTCCGATAGTTTCTAAATATTTCTAACAGCACTCTACTTCCATTATTTCTAACGTTTTGTAAATAGGTCAGTGGGCTGGGAAGGAAGTAATTCACACATCCCTGTGAAGTACAGGCTAGTCTGCCTGGGCGTCAGGCATTGGTGCCTTACAACAAAAGAGCCACCAGTGTCCAGCAGTAAAATCTAAAAATATACAGACGAAGACAGAAGAGTCGGATTAGCACCTACTTTAATGGGGGCAATTACCCAGATCTACCATTTGGTTATTTGTTTGAAATATTTCAAATAGTGATAGAAACACATGGATAGTTCAAATCTATTCTAAATAAAGAGATCTTTGTACAGCCACTTTCAAAATGTTTAAGAAATGTTTAAATAAATTCAAATATATTCAAATTTCAATTTCAAATGTTTGAAAAATTTAGAACTTTTGTTACCGGGGTATTCTTTTCTTCTAAATAATTCAAAAGTATTACAAACATGGAGAAAAAAACACACGGTGACGCGGAATGGACTCTAGCTAGTCATACCACCAAAAGAGACCGTAAATCAACAATATTTGACAAACATTTTATTGTAACTCTTAAATTTTCCATGCTACAATCTTCAAGTTTTCAGGATCTTAGGATCAAACAGTTTGCCACAAAGGTCTTTAATTACACATTGTTTTTGTGTACAAAAGTTAACACATTGTTGCTAATTACGCTAATGAGTACATCTAGCCATAGTCTGTGCAAGGAAAAAAAA